TCCAGAATGTGGCAGCCAGACTGGTTACTGGTAGCGGCCACTGAGACCATATAACACCGGTCCTCAAAGACCTACACTGGCTCCCAGTACGTTTCTGAGCACAATTCAAAGTGTTGGTGCTGACCTTGAAAGCCCTAAACGGCCTTGGTCCAGTATACCTGAAGGAGCGTCTCCACCTCCATCGTTCTGCCTGGACACTGAGGTCCAGCGCCAAGGGCCTTCTGGCGGTTCCCTCATTGCGAGAAGTGAGGTTACAGGGAACCAGGCAGAGGGCCTTCTCGGTGGTGGCGCCCGCCCTGTGGAACGCCCTCCCAGCAGATGTCAAGGCAATAAACAACTATTTTACTTTTAAAAGACAACTGTTTACGGAAGTTTTTAAATGTCTGATGCTGTATTGTTTTTAATATTTGGTTGGAAGTCGCCCAGAGTGGCTGGGGAAACCCAGCCAGATGGGCGGGGCATAAATAAATTATTATTATTATTATTATTATTATTATTATTATTATTATCATCAGGCCAGTGGCCCATCTAGTCAATGCAGAACAGCAGGCTGCTCTCAAGGCAACCTGAATTTCAATGCTGGTTCGGCACGCATTCCGTTCTCTTTAAACCAGCTTTGCTTTTAATTCAATTGTATGCTATAATGATGTTATTAACATGTTGCAAGCTGCCCTGAAATCCCAATTTTTTGGGGGGGGGATACAAATATAGAGAATTGTAGAGATGTTAGGGGTCTCATGGGTCATCTAGACCAACCCCCTGCAATGCAGATAATAATAATAATAATAATAATAATAATAATAATAATAATTTTTTCAGCATCCTGTTCTCACAGATGCTTGTGGGAAGCCTACAAGTGGGATTTGAGCACAAGAGCAACTCTCCCCTCCTGTGGTTTCCAGCAACTGGTTTTCAGAAGCATTTATACCTCCAACTGGGGAAGGGGCTGATGGCAACAAGGCCCCGCCAGGCCCTCCAGTGCCCCCTGCAACAGAGAAGCACTTAGATGCAGCCGGTTGGCAACATACACCAGCCGACAGGACTCTCAGTCTGATGCAAGAAAACCAATTCTGAATGCCCCACCCCTGCAATTAAGACAATTTGAAGGGCGGTTAAGACTGCTAGATCAGCTGGCTTTAAAAAAATTAAAATAAAATAAACACAGGGAAGGGGCAGTTTGTCGTGCCACCGTCCCCTCAGAGAATGAAACAAATTCACGGGAGGATCAATAAGCAGCTTTTATGGACATGGCAGCCAAACAGAACCTCCAAAGACAAAATTAATGGGAGAAGCTTGCAAATAGCAGATAGGCTTAGGGTTTAAATATGTAATGTGATGAATTAATATGTTTAATGCTGAACTGGAAAGGGGAAAAAAAAGATGTTAAGCGATTAAGTTAATTGTATAAGAATAACGGTTTTGAAAACCGTTAAAATGATATACAGGTGAAACTTGAAAAATTAGAATATTGTGGGAAAGTCCCTTGATTTCAGTAATTCAACTTAAAAGGTGAAACTAATATATGCGATCGACTCATGACATGCAAAGCAAGATGTGCTTCTACTTCTCAGAGGTCCAGTCTTGCTCAGTTTGCAATCCTTGTTTTGCTGATTTCCTTGAATATTCTAATTTTCTGAGATTGTTAATTTGGGGTTTTCATCAGCTGTACGCCATGATCATCTCAATGATAACAAATCGAGGCTTCACATATCTCGCTTTGCATGTCACGAGTCGATCTCATATATTAGTTTCACTTTTGAAGTTGAATTAGTGAAATAAAGGAACTTTTCCACGATATTCTAATTTTTTGAGTTTCTCCTGTACACTGAAATTCAACCAGGGGGATACGAGGAAGTCACTTAACAATATTTCTGAGTTTGGTTTAAATAAGGTTGAGATTTATGTTCGTTTGTCTCTTTGTTTGTTTGTTTAATTTTTTTTTGGAAAATCAATAAAAAAAATTGGGGGAAAAAGAACCTCCAAAGACAGGGGGCAGTCTACCTCTCAGCAACCAAAGGGAGTTGTGTGTGTGTGTGTGTGTGTGTGTGTGTGTAAGCAAGTCTTTTCATGCCCTGCTGCTTGTGAGTGCTCTTAGGCTGGACACTGTCAGAACCAGTCCACTGGGCAGATGAGGTATTGGTCTGATCAATCAATGCACAACAGATTTATTTTGGGGGGTGGTGGAATGGTTGAATGCAGATAGAATGGGAAGTGGGAAGAGGGTCTGGAAAGGCAGTGTGCTATTGGGCGGGGAGGTGGGGGGCTGGCGTTCCAGATCTGTTTCCAAGAATCAGCCATGCCTTTGGGCTGTGCAAAGTCTCTAAGCTGCGATGTGTATACAGAATCATAGAGCTGAATAGTCCAATGTAGGAATAACCCTCTGCAATGCATATATATATATGTATATCTACACACACACACACACACACACACACACACATAGATACGTGTATCAGTTGCATACTGTTTGATTTGTTCCCCTGAAGAGAGAACTCTTCTGTAATAATATTTTGCTTGCATCTTCTTGGGTTAGCCAGTTCACACACACACACACTCAGACACGCTGGAAACATCGGCTATTTGCAGAACAGTAAAAAATAAAATAAAATTCAAGTCTGTTGCTGGAGGCAGTGTTGTAACCCTTATCAATAGGTTCCTTTCCTTTTCCTTGCTTCTTCTTTTTTTTAAAACAGTTAGCCCTCCATTTGATCAGGAATATTTGGCTGTTGAGGAAGGGAGCGAGGAGGAGAGCCTCCTCCCCACCCCTCGCCCCGCTGCTCTCTTTCCTCTTTCCGTTTCGGCGCAGCCACGGAAATGCCGCCGCGAAGGCACTTCTTCTACTTGCCCTCATTTGCGGAGCCTTCTTCAGAGACGCGCCCCAGCATCCGAACGAGTCCCCCTTCCCCTGGCCCTTCGTCCGCACTCCGTCCCGGACGCCAAGGCGGAAAAAAGCTTCTCCTTTTGCACCCGGCAGAGCTCTTGAGGGGGGAAAAGACCCAGGCCCTTTCCGACGCCATTCGAGGATCAGGCACTATCTGTCGTCTCGCATCGACTCACCCGCCGTAGAAAGGAAGAAAAATTTGGTCCTGTGGTTTTTCTTTTTCTCTTCTTCTTCCGAACGTTTTAAAAAAAATAGAGTTGCTGTAATATATATTTATATATCCTTATATATATATCTTTCTCTCTTTCTCTTTCTCTCTCTTCTACTTATATACACAACACGGTTTAAATTAGAAAGCCGGCGTTCAAGGCGACCTGTTAAAACGATGCAACCAAGTCGTCAGGTTGGTCCACTGGCTAAACTGGGGGCAGCTGTCCGTGGTTCTGAAATCCCCCTCACATTCACACACCCTGTGAATCCTTTCAGGAGGACGTTGTGAAAGGTGTTGTCGTTGTTGCTGGATGTTGGCTGGGTTTGTTTGTTGTCGTTGGCTTCCCCCCACCCCCCACTCCGCCCAAGGAAGGTGGGGAATTGTTCGGGGGCGGGGGATCCCTTCTTTAAAACGAAAGAACGAAATCAACTGGAAGAGGGGATGCTTAACTTCACCTAAAGGAGAAGAAGAGAGACAGAGAGGTTGGAATGCAAGGTTGCCAAAGTCACACACCTGTCGTCGTCGTCCCCATATGATAAAATACAGCATGCTCACATTGTGCATGGGCGGGCGTGCGCATTCAGTTCGGGGATCGAAACCGTTAGAGGCTGCAAGCACTTAAAATATTTTGGTGCCCCATACATATCTAATTCAAAATCTAAAACAATAATAAACCATGAACTGAAATTTTATTTTTTCAAAATGAAATGAAGCCTACGGTAAGATGGAAGGAGATGCTTATTTTTGTATACTTGCACTTTATTCGAATTTTTCTTTCCCCTCCTCCTTTTTCTAAAAGCCTTTGATCAGATCCTCAAAACTAATCTGGCATCTATACCTAGTGGAGATCAGGCCCCCACAGCGTGCCTTAATAATAATAATAATAATAATAATAATAATAATAATAAATTTTATTTATACCCTGCCCTCCTCAGCCAAGACCAGGCTCAGGGCGGCTAACAGCAGGTAAAAACAATTGATTAAAATACAACTTAAAAACAAGATTAAGTATAACATTAAAATGCAGCCTCATTTCAGTAGAAACTCCAATCAAAACCTTTTTGGGGATTAAAACATCAAATCTTCACCAAAGCCAACTATTCAGACTGGTCCTACGTGGGCCAGAAAAAAGCCAGGGAAGGCCCCAAATAGGAGTTCCATCACAGAAGGAGAAAGGAAAAAGGGGGAGGGGATCAAGTTGATTCCAAGCCAAAGGCCAGGCGGAACAACTCTTGTTGTGTGGTTGTCGTATTGGTATTTTTAATAGATTCCAACAGAGAAAATGAACGCTCAGCCGAGCAATTGGTAAGCATTAATGTTAAAAATCTGGAAAAGGAATATTTTTTGAGGTACTTTCCTTGATGCCCTAAGCATGTACCATATTTTTTGCTCTATAAGACGCACCAGACCACAAGATGCACCTAGTTTTTGGAGGAGGAAAACAAGAAAAAAAATATTCTGAATCTCAGAAGCCAGAACAGCAAGAGGGATCTCTGCACAGTGAAAGCAGCAATCCCTCTTGCTGTTCTGGCTTCTGGGATAGCTACGCAGCCTGCATTCGCTCCATAAAACGCACACACATTTCCCCTTAATTTTTAGGAGGGAAAAAGTGAGTCTTATAGAGCAAAAAATATGGTATTCATTTTGCTTATTGGTTCATCCAGCCCTGATTCAGATCCACGGGGTCCAAAGCCCTGGAGGTGCCCCATGGCTGGTGGGTGAAAAAGAGAGGATCCCCACTACTCTCAGAGGGAGCCTTGCCCAAACGCTGCAATTTTTCCTCTGAGGGGAGTTCTTTCGGTCCCTTGTATCGCTTTGGTTGCCCTTTGGCTGGAGCTTTCCGGACTCCGTGACATCCTTGCATTTACGTACTGTGGGACTGCAGTTTCCATCGCAGGGACGCACAGTTCAGTAGGGGTGGCTGGCGTCCTTAGGCCGCTTCAATTGCACCTTCAATCTTTTCATCCCGATCTGGAACCCATTCATAGCCTGGATGGCTGTCTGGGCACTGGATGGGTTGTCGAAACTCACAAAGCCTGAATAAAAGGGGGAGGCAAAGATACGACATGATACGATACGATAATCTTTATTGTCATTGTCCCATACAGAACAACGAAATTGGAAAAATCTACATCAGGCATTCAAAAACCAACAAGCCTGCTATCCCAGCCTGGTTAGCCCCCTAAAAACTCTGATATCCCATAATTAAATACAATATACTCCCATAGAGACTACCTTAAAGTTAAAGGTAAAGGTACCCCTGCCCGTACGGGCCAGTCTTGCCAGACTCTAGGGTTGTGCGCTCATCTCACTCTATAGGCCGGGAGCCAGCGCTGTCCGCAGACACTTCCGGGTCACGTGGCCAGCGTGACAAGCTGCATCTGGCGAGCCAGCGCAGCACACGGAACGCCGTTTACCTTCCCGCTGGACAGCATTGTTTTTCCCCTGACCGTGCAGCTCCCAAACCACACACACAGACCATAAGTTAATGCACTCTCCACAGTACAATGGTAAAATGCCATCAACAGGTCCTTTGAGAGATTGTTTTTCCGGGTCAGGTTTGCTGACGAGACTAAAACACTCAGGGTTGTTTAAAAAAAAGGCGATTGCAAAGGACCTCTCCAAACCGAGGGCTTCAAATTGCCTGTCCTGTACCTGCCCCTCTTCCCTCTCTCCCTCGATCGCTCACCGAAACATTTGCTCTGGTTTGTTGCACGGTCCATGAAAACTTTGGAGGAGATGATGTTCCCAAAGGGAAGGAACATCTGCATGAGTTCGTTGTCGCCAAACTCCTGGGGGAGGTGGTAGATGAAAAGGTTGCATCCTTCGGGGCCTGCAGTTAAAGAGGCAGCATGGCATAGTGGTTAGAGCATCAGACTAGGAGCAGGGAGGCCTTGGGTTCAAATCCCCCCCGCCCATTCAGCAATGAAACACCCTTGTGTGACCACAAGCCTGTTGCATTATTTGGCTTGTATCCCACTACGTGGGGGGTGGGAAAACCTCTGGCTACCATGAAGGAATCCAAGTGGTCCTCCTGCAAGTATTTCCACCAAACTATGCCCTCTCATCAGCAGATGCCACTTGCAAAATCATCCAATGGGCAGGGTCAAAGCCTGTACTGACTGTGCATGGTGTACCTGTTTCCAGGAAGGGGTGTGTGTGTCTGCATTGGAATTCTCTGCTTCAACAAAGATCTCCCCACAGTTCGCCACTTGGGAAAATGAACAGCAGTCATTTAAGACATTTGCAAAGTTAAAATGGCAGTTGACTGGAAAGAGACTGGCTTTCTAAACATTTGGGTGGGCGGGTCTATATGGGGATTGGTTTTTGGCAGGCTTTGGCAGTCGTGCACTGAGGTGGAAATAGCTTGCGCGCATGTGCACGGGCCTCCTCCGACCCGGATGTGCACCACCAACAACAAATTTATTAAATTTGTGAGGTCCATGCCTTTACACAAAATACCATAAAACATTATTAAAAGATAGACCAAAAAGATTATAAAAGTAAGCTAAAATTCATGCCATGTTGTCCCAGCAAGGAAACTACCCAAAAAAACCCCACCATTCAAGGAAGAAGGTTCAGCAACAGGTTAGGAGAGCAATGGGAGGGACCTCACCATTTCATCCAGGAACCATACCCTAGTTTTCATAGCCTTCATAGACCCGGATGTGCACCAGAAATAACGCTTGCACGTGCGCAAATAATGCTTGCGCATGCGCACAAGCGATTTCCGGTGCTCCTCCGACCCAGAAGTGGGCAGCCATGCAGCGCAGCGCCGGTAAGAGCGGGCAGCGGGGGTCGCCGCTGGCCGGATAAACGAGTCCCTTGGGCCTTACTTTGGGGAGCCCTGTCCTAAGCCCAGCCCACCCACCCTTCACATTTGGCTCCTGGTGCTGATCCTGAGAAGGCTGTGGCCTGCGGAGCCCAGAAGATTCCTCACCCCTGAGCTAAGTCACACTAAGTCAACAGTCCCACGGAGAGCAAAGGTTTCCTGCATTGCAGGGGGCTGGACTAGATGACCCTCAGGATCCCTCCCATGATTCTATGATTGCTGTGATTCTAACTCATTCCATCAACTCCATTGAAAGCTTACCCCCCACCCCCCCAAAACCGTGTTCCTTCTCCAGAACCATTTTCATCCCAGCTGATTGTAGCAAGAACTACCATTTCAATAACGTGATTGGTGTCTGAGTTTACTTTCCCTCCTCTTCCCTCCCCACTCCCTTTTCCTTTTGTGTCGTGTCTTTTCCATTGTAAGTCCATGGGCAGGGGCTGCCCTGTTTAAAACTGACGGCATGGCTGAGGGGTGGGGGGCACAAGTGCTCCCAACAGAAGAAAGGAAGATTGCCTTTGGACCCGGAAGACGACTTACCTTCCCGTTGCTGCTGCTGAATTATTGGAAGGGGCTGAGGGATGGGCTGAGCGACCGGGGTGATGGTGGTGGCTGGGTAGACAGCTGGGCAGGGAAAGAGAGGGGAGACAGAGCATTCATTTGATTATTTTTCATGTATTTTGGTTTTTCAAAACATGTTTTTCTTTCTTCAAATTTCATTGACCGAAAACCAAAATGCAAAATGCTCCAAATCAGAGCAAAATGCTGTCAATAAATTCAGTCTAATACTATATACAGTTTGCATTTAAAAAACACACACAAACAAATAAAATAATCAAATTAAGGAAAGGAAAAACCAACAAATAAGGCTACTAACATACAGATTCAAGTTAGAATTTCAGGTCACCGCAACGCAAATATCTATCCGTGTCCATTTTGCTCATGGAAAGCCCCTATAGCTCTGCAATCTTATATACTTCAAACACACTTGACTTTGTGTGCATTCAGGTGGGCTGCTAGTTGAAGAACTGAGTCAAACTCTACTGTATGTATATTGGTTTTAAAGCATGAAATGCTTCATCTCAGGGTTTGGGGTTTGAGCAAAACTTCGCAGCGGGTTGGACCAGATGATATTCGCGATCTCTTCCAGCTCCACAATTCTATTCTAAGTACAATGGTATTTTGCTTTACAACCATAATCCGTTCCGGAGGTCCGTTTGTAAACCAAAACAGGTTGTAACCCAAGGCGCGCTTTCGCCAATGGGGCCTCCAAAAAAAATTGTCCAAGTATAAAAAAAAGGGGGGGTTGTAATAATAATAAAAATGGTTGCAAACTGGGACACACACTTCCGGGTTTGACATGTTTGCAATCCAAAATGTATGCAAACCAAGGTACCACTGTAATTCTGTAAGTTTTCAAAAGCAGTGAGCGTAAGGTGAGTCATTCTGCATATTTTGAAACTGCCCTTCATCCTTGCTGTCCCCTCTGGCCCTGATCAGGTACCAGACTCCATGAGAAAAGAGCAAATGCAAAAGGGGCTTGGCCAGCCCTGACTTGGTCCGGGCACAGAGTCCTCAGAGGACTTTCCACAAATCAAAGCTTTATTGCTGCGGTCAGTGGCCAGAACATCAAGGGGACGCAGTCAGAAGCACATACAGCGCATTATTTGAATGTGTGTCACAGGGCAAAAGAGAATAACAGAATAAGGTCAACAAAGGAATACAGGTAAAGGTAAAAAGACCTCTGACCATGAGGTCCAGTCGTGGCCGACTCTGGGGTTGCGGCGCTCATCTCGCTTTATTGGCCGAGGGAGCCAGCGTACAGCTTCTGGGTCATGTGGCCAGCATGACTAAGCCGCTTCTGGCGAACCAGAGCAGCGCATGGAAACGCTGTTTACCTTCCCGCCAGAGTGGTACCTATTTATCTACTTGCACTTTGACGTGCTTTCGAACTGCTAGGTTGGCAGGAGCAGGGACCGAGCAACAGGAGCTCACCCCGTCGCGGGGATTCGAACCGCTGATCTTCCAATCAGCAAGCCCTAGGCTCTGTGGTTTAACCCACAGCGCCACCCGCGTCCCTAACAAAGGAATAGCACAGAGTAAAAAATACACTGGGCACCGGCCAGCTTAAAGGGTGTCATCCTGTCACGAACTCCAAAGCGGAAAATCCCAAAGGCCCTGAGATCAGTTCCTGGCGAGTTTTGCTTGCTGCAGCGCAGTACCTTGTGGCAGCCTGCTTTGCAAAGGGTTAGACTTGATGACTTTGGGGTCCCTCCCAACTGCACATACAATTCTACAATTCCACATGTGGCCACACTGAGCCAGACCCCTCACTGGTTGAGGACCTTGAGGAGCAGACAGGGGCCCTCCTGTGGAGATTCCCGCATTGCAGGGGTTGGGCTACATGACCCTCGCGGGTCCCTTCCAAGCTCCACAGTTCTACAATTCTGTGAATGGCCAGTTTCCGCCTTTCAGTCTAACCGACCTCACAGGGCTGTCTGTAAGGATAAAATGGGGCAAATGGAGGAGAACCACGTATTCCTTGGAAATGGGCTGGATAAAAGCTCTCAGTGGCTTCTAGCTAGCAGTATATGCCTCTGAAAACCAATTGCAGGTTGGAAAAGGTGCCGGTCTGACTCAGGTCAACTGGTCGGCCATTGGGAGAATGATGCCTTATGCTCTGCTCCTTCAGGTGTGCTGAGCCAGTGACTGCAGCTACTTCACTGTTAGAGGGAACTGTGATGGCCTGGGACTCGGGCTCAGACTCGGAACCAAAGGAGACTCAGTCCGCACCGGATCCTTTGCCTCAGGCATCACCTGAACCGAGTCTGGGGCCTGATCCTGAAGAGTTCCAGTCTGCACAGGTTCCCCTGCAACAAACACCAGCTGGGCCAAGTCTGGGGCCTGAGCCTGCCCTGGCTCCAGATGCGGGGATGACCTCGTTGCCTTCAGCTGGGCCATCACAGCTGCTCCACTACTGGTTTGGTCAGGGGAGGCTGAGGCGGCCTCTGGGTCTAGTAACCCACCGACGTCTCCCGAGCTGCAGAGACTGAGGTCTGAGAGAAGGAGAGACCCGAATACTCACAGGAGGAGTGCTCGCCTTCGGGCGAAACAGGGAGGTGAGTCGCCGGGGGATCAGGACCAGCCGCTACCCAGACAAAGATAAAAGGCTGTCGGACCCTGTCCCAGGTTGCGGGAGCAACATTGCTGTATGCTAGATCCTGCCTGAGATCCTGTACCTGTCCTTGCTTGGTTTCCTGCCTTGGCCCTGTTGGACTGACTCCCACGGAACCTTCAGATTCTGGACCAGTCCTAGACCACGTTGCACGGGTTACCCCCGGTCCCACCACAGGAACAAGCAGGAACCACAACAAGCGCCCCAGGGTAATCCTGCTCCTGCTACACAAAAGAGCCACTGCCTTTCTATAAAACTCAGCGAATGCTCCCATGATCCCCTGGTGCTTGCTTTGCAGCGGGCTCTTCTTGGCTCCGAACCTGTGAGCACGCCGCCCCCTGAGTTTAACGGGACTGATGTCGGCAGCTTCCGCGAGGAAGAGAGCTATTTCATGCACACGGTATATTATTTAGCTCCACTGATAGAAGGAGGAGGATTAAGTCTGGATTCAGCACGGGGGACCATTTAATTATTTTGGGAGCTGGTATACCCAAATTCAGGGACACGGGTGGCGCTGTGGGTTAAACCACAGAGCCTCTTGGACTTGCCGATCAGAAGGTCGGCGGTTCGAATCCCCGTGACGGGGTGAGCTCCTGTTGCTTGGTCCCTGCTCCTGCCAACCTAGCATTTCAAAAACATGTCAAAGTGCAAGTAGATAAATAGGTACCGCTCAGGCGGGAAGGTAAACAGCATTTCCGTGCGCTGCTCTGGTTCGCCAGAAGCGGCTTAGTCATGCTGGTCACATGACCCGGAAGCTGTACGCCGGCTCCCTCGGCCAATAAAGCGAGATGAGCGCCGCAACCCCAGAGTCGGCCACGACTGGACCTAATGGTCAGGGGTCCCCTTTACCTTTACTTACCCAAATTCACTGTGGGAGTATATTGTGGCTTGGCAATGGGTTTTTTGAAAGGCGGGCCTTTCTAACCCTAAAGTTAGAGGGAGATGGTCCCTCTCAGTGTTATGGCCTACTTGAAACTTCGTGACGAAGCCATACGCGAATCTTGAAATTAGAATCTCTAACGCTTCTGCCAGTCTTGGTAAAATGTGTGTATTCCCCAGGTCAAGTTCCACTCTCATGCACACGGTACCTGCATACTGCTGGACTCCGGTGAAGGCTGGGTGCATAGTCTCTGCTACTGATGGGTTCTGGGCTAAAAGAGGAGAGATCTTATTTTATTTTTCTAAAGGAACGGACCTGTTGAGAAGAAGGGAAGTCCTAAAATGTGAACGAGCCAAAAAATAATAATGAATTGGAGTTGGGAGTGGAAGTTGGGAGTCGCAACAGCATTTTGGACCATTGCTCAAAACAGACATCAGAACGAAACAGCCAGCAGCCAAAAGCTGACTCAGAATATTGAGGACCAGAATGAGCAGGTTTACTGAAGATGGTAGTCGGGAGAGATGAGAGTTGGAATCCACCATCATCTGGGAGGAGCATAGGCTGCCCATCCGTATCCTCCTCTCTGTGCCTGTTTCCCGCACCGCACCTTTTCCCTTTCTTACCTGTGCAGGGAAGAAGCCCATTCGTATAAACGGCCTCCAAGGTGGGATGGCTGCTGGGAATGGGGACCACTCCTGCGAAGCTGTTGGTGATGGGGGCCACCAGTCCCGGGATGGCAGTCGTGCCCAAGAGAGGAGGCGAGTGTAACCCTGCAGAGACAGAAAAGCGGGTGGGTGTAACTTTCCTTTTAACAACAACAACAATAATCTTTATTCCGGTCCAGAGACCCAACAAATCGTTACAAAGCAATACACAATTCATACAGCCTACCTCCAGGTTAAACAAGCATTTTGTTCAGAATATAGGGATCATTGGTTGTTGCAACCACCGATAAAAACTTGGCCACTGCTAATGTTCTAGCATTTGTCCGGTCTTCCAATAGGAACCTGACATAGTGAGCCTCTGATTTTCCCGGGAAATGTACCAGCGAGGGTAGTATGTGTTCAGCCCTGGCTTGCTCATATTTTGCACAGTGCAACAAAATATGTTTTATGGGATCGATGTCTTGAGCACACGAGCAAAGTCTGTCCTGGTAGGGAACTCCTCTCAACACTGCAGAAGGAAAGACGTTTAGTCTGGCTTTGGTGAAAAGCCTTCGATAGTTTGGTACTGTCAGGTTTTTAATGTAAGATGTTAACTTAAAGACATGCCCATATTGTACCCTTTTCACAGCTCTGGGGACGGCATTGGAGCCTGCCCCTCCGTGCATCCAGATGTGCCTTTCCCCCTCAGAAGCATCCTTACACCAGGTGCTTGTTCATCTACTGTCTACACTGAGCGTGACCTTTCGTGCACGCTTTTCAACTAGGGCCGTCAGGAATCGAACCCGGGACTATCTGCATGCAAAAACAGATACTCTTCCCATTGAACTAGCTCTCCAGGGAGAAAGAAAAGGAGAGGAGCTGCCTTGTACCAGGTCGGAACATTTACCTGTCTGAAGTCCTGCATTCTCTACCATGCATGGCAGAAAATATAAAATTAACCGGCAATCCGCCTCCATCTGGATTGTGGAAAATACAGTGGTACCTCAGGTAACATACGCTTCAGGTTACGTACGCTTCAGGTTACACACTCCGCTAACCCAGATATAGTGCTTCAGGTTAAGAACTTTGCTTCAGGATAAGAACAGAAATCTGGCTCCGGCGGCGCAGCAGCAGCAGCAGCAGGAGGCCCCATTAGCTAAAGTGGTGCTTCAGGTTAAGAACAGTCTCAAGTTAAGAACGGACCTCCGGAATGAATTAAGTACTTAACCCGAGGTACCACTGTAATGTAGGAGTGCAAATATCCAGAGTGTTGGGATCAGATGGGATTACTATGAGGAATTATAAAATATGCATCAAGCCATTGTGTCCGCCATGAAAGCATGGCGTTGACTGGGTTCGATTCATTGACAGTAATTTCTGATCAAATCCCACAACCCTCTGCATCTCTGGCCATTTCCTCTACTGTCCATTTCTCTCTGCTTGACAAGTCACGTACGCAGCCCAGTTGCCGCTTGCTGCATGAGGCATTCTGGGTCATAAAGATGATAGTTAGCTTTGATGTAGTTTAATCTTTAGGTAGATCTTAGGGCCAGGAAGAGGGTTCACAAGAATATGGTAAATACTGCCATCCTTCCAGGAGATGGTAAATATTTCCTTCCTTTATTGCTTGTTTATGACCTCCCGGTTTGCTGAATGCATCCCTCCTTTTTAAGGTAAAGGGACCCCTGACCATTAGGTCCAGTTGTGACCAACTCTGGGGTTGCGGTGCTCATCTCGCTTTATTGGCCGAGGGAGCCGGCGTACAGCTTCCGGGTCATGTGGCCAGCAGGACTAAGCCGCTTCTGGCAAACCAGGGCAGCGCACAGAAATGCCGTTTACCTTCCCGCCGGAGCAGTACCTATTTATCTACTTGCACTTTGACATGCTTTTGAACTGCTAGGTTGGCAGGAGCAGGGACCGAGCAACGGGAGCTCACCCCATTGCGGGGATTCGAACCGCCGACCTTCTGATCGGCAAGTCCTAGGCTCTGTGGTTTAACCCACAGCACCACCCGCGTCCCCCAGAAGTATGCATGCTTAAATTAGCTTTTTGTAGTTTGACTGTCCCCACATGGGGTTTTTTGAAATGCTCAGAGGAAATCTGATTGGCTCTTACGTACACTGTGTAAAAAGTTCTTTTGTGAATAAAACGACCTGGGCTGGAGGGTGGACAGGAATTATTATAATACACACTCCTCCCAGAGTCTTGCTGGTTCAAGCCTCTGTGTGTATTTTATTATCAGAGTCCAATCCTTCCTTTACTTTGGGAACGCCTCAAATATTAAAGTTTGTTGGATCGAAGTCAGTGCTGGTCATATAGTGGAGAAGTACAAACCTACTAGATTTGGCTTGCATCTATCATTAGGCCAGCAGCCCTGTCATTAGGCAGCTGGGGCTGAGGGAGGGGAGCAGCGTACTGTAATAGGATTTTAAGGTCATATATGTATAATAAATGTTCATAAATGTACCAATGTCTGGAGCAGCACAGGAAGACCTCCCTGAAACCATTTCGACTCCCAAGCTGACCAAATGTTTCTCTGCAAGGAGGGAGGGGGTGAGGGAACCTACCCATTGTCTCAGGAATTAAGTAATCACCATTTCAAAAGGAATGGCCAGACTACCAGGAAAGGCAGTCAGATAAGGCATTATCAGATAACCTGGCAGACAGTAAAAACAACAACACTCAAATTTCTGTTGTAGACCACCTTTTCTGTGATGTGGATATGATGTTTCTGGGGGGTGGTCTTGGGCTACACCCCTTCTGTGATGTATGTATGATGTATGGAGGGGTGGTCTTGAGCTCCAGGGCAGGGAATTTAAAATGTCTATATAAGGGCAGGCACACCTTTGTTTGCGGCCCTCCTCCTCCTCCTGCGTGTGAGGGGAGCACCCTGTTGCAACAGCTTTAATAAAGATCAGGCTTACTAGCTGCTTTGCTTCTCAATATTCTCTGGTTGGCCTCTATTATTTTCTCCTACCAATAGGGAACCCATGTAAGGACTCTATATGGATACCCCATCAGGGAAGAAGGGCAGATTTTGTTTACAACAGTACAAAGGGAAAAATCTCATTGGCTGCTCTGTCCCCTTTTCCCTCTGGCTTGCCCAGGAGGCAGGGTGGCCTCCAGGCTGGGAAAACGTCCCCGCCCCTGACACCAAGGATACGCACCTGAGGTTTGTGCAACAGGAGTGGCTGGCAAGCCATTTAGGCTGACGGTGCCGATTTGCTGGATGTGGCAGGGGGAGAAGGTGAGGCTTGGGCTGACGAAGCTTCCATGAGATGCCGAAAGGACAGTCTGCTGCTGCATCAGCTGAGAAAAGAAAAGGAAAATGCAGGCAAGTCTCCAGTGTGTAAGTGAAGTCGTGTCTACTGGGAAACACCATTGAAAAAGCCTGCAAACACCCTCTAAATCTGAACCAGGCTTCCTCAGCCTCGGCCCTCCAGATGTTTTGAGACTACAATTCCCATCATCCCTGACCACTGGTCCTGCTAGCTAGGGATCATGGGAGTTGTAGGCAAAAAAACATCTGGAGCAGGGATCCCCAAACTCGGCCCTCCAGCTGTTTTGGGACTACAACTCCCATCATCCCTAGCTAACAGGACCAGTGGTCAGGGATGATGGGAACTGTAGTCCCAAAACAGCTGGAGGGCCAAGTTTGGGGACGCCTGATCTGGAGGGCCGAGGTTGAAGAAGCCTGCTCTAAACCTCTGTAAACCCTTTAGAAAACCAAAACTCCACCGCAATAGCTCCCTCTAAACCTCCTTGTTCAAACTTTCCATAGGCAAAGGCTCCTGGGATTGCACGACGCTGTTTTTGCACCATTTTCACGCCTTTGGGGTGCCGTTTTTGCCCCTTTACGTGCCACTTCCTGGTTGGTGTCGTGCCTTAAAGTAAAGGTAAAGGGACCCCTGACCAATAGGTCCAGTCGTGGCTGACTCTGGGGTTGCGCGCTCATCTCGCTTTATTGGCCGAGGGAGCCGGCGTACAGCTTCCGGGTATGTGGCCAGCATGACTAAGCCGCTTCTGGCAAACCAGAGCAGCGCACGGAAACACCGTTTACCTTCCCGCCGGACCGGTACCTATTTATCTACTTGCACTTTGGCGTGCTTTCGAACTGCTGGCTTGGCAGGAGCAGGGACTGAGCAACGGGAGCTCACTCCGTTGTGGGGATTCGAACCGCCGACCTTCTGATCGGCAAGTCCTAGGCTCTGTGATTTAACCCACAGCGCCACCTGTGTCCCGCGTCGTGCCTTGAGAGTGTGCAAATAACAATCCGCAGCAACGATACCACAGAGAGAGATCTATCAACGGCTCGGCTAGGCCTCTAGAGCCGAAGGCTGCAACGCTTCTTTGACTTCCTTCCCCTCTTTCTGCAGTTCCTTAAATTTATTCTTTCATATATTCTGCATATCCAGATTAACTTAATTTGCTCATGCGTTCATCTACTTTAAATCTATACTCATAAAACTGCAGGTTATTGCAATAATCCTGCTAATGTTTTAATCTGTTTACAATTTATCTGCAAATTTTCAATAAACCATTTCCATTCTTTTATAAAGAATTTGTTATCTTGATTTCTTATTCTTCCGGTAAGTTTCTGCATATTTCATAAGCTTTTGTATCCATTCTTCCTTTGCTGGGACTTCTGCTTCTTTCCATTTTGGGGCGAATAACATTCCTGCTGCTGTAGTAGCGTACATAAATAAATTTCTATACAACTTAGGTAGTGCTGTCCCTATAATTCCCAAAAGAAAAGCTTCTGGATTTGTTTGTTTTTAATAAAAGTTATTTTGAACATCTTTTTCGATTCATTATATATCATTTCCTAGTAAGCTTTAACCCAGTAAGCTACAAGACCACCACATATGATAAAAAGAACCTTCCTTCGCTTTCCAAAATTTGTTTGATTTAGATTTATACATTTTTGACAGTTTACTCGGTGTTAGATACCAACGATATATCATTTTCATATCATTTTCTCTTGGAAGAAGAAGAGTTTGGATTTGATATCCCGCTTTATCACTACCCGAAGGAGTCCCAAAGCAGCTAACATTCTCCTTTTCCTTCCTTCCCCACAACAAACACTCTGTGAGATGAGTGGGGCTGAGAGACTTCAGAGAAGTGTGACTGGCCCAAGGTCACCCAGCAGCTGCAGGTGGAGGAGTGAGGAAGCGAACCCGGTTCACCAGATTACGAGGCTCCCGCTCTTAACCACTACACCACACTGGCTCTTAGACCAGGGCTCAACAAACTTTTTCAGCAGGGGGCCAATCCACTGTCCCTCAGACCTTGTGGAGGGCCAGACTATATATATATATTTGAACGAATTCCTATGCCCCACAAATAACCCAGAGATGCATTTGAAATAAAAGGACACATTCTACTTATGTAAAAACACACTGATTCCCGGACCATCCACGGGCCGGATTGAGAAGGCGATTGGGCCTGATCCGACCCCCGGGCCTTAGTTTGCCTACCCATCCACCCTTTCTCAACCTGTGAGTCCCCAGATGTTGTTGAACTACAACTTCCATCCCCCCTAGCTAGCAAGGCCAGAGCTCAGGGATGATGGGAGTTGTAGTCCGACAACATCTGGGGACCCACAGGTTGAGAACAGCTGCTTAAGGGAAACTAAAGGAGCAGCTCAGTCGGCAGAGCACGAGACTCTTAATCCCAAGGCTGCGGGTTTGAGCACCAAGTTGGGCAAAAAATGGGGTGGGACTAGAGAACCCTTATGATCCCTGCCAACTTCCAACCCTTGTGATCCCTTCCATACATGGCTGGATTTAGGTTTGATGAGGCCCTAAGCTACTGAAGGTAAAGGGACACCTGACCATTAGGTCCAGTCACGGATGACTCTGGGGTTGCGGCACTCATCTCGCTTTTTTGGCCAAGGGAGCCGGTGTACAGCTTCCGGGTCATGTGGCCAGCAGGACTAAGCCGCTTCTGGCGAACCAGAGCAGCGCACGGAAACGCCGTTTACCTTCCCGCCGGAGCGGTACCTATTTATCTACTTGCACATGACATGCTTTCAAACTGCTAGGTTGGCATAACATGCTGCAAATTTTATATCCCAATTCCACAATCCTTCCCATGTTGCTCTTCTTCCGTTCTTACAGCCATGTCGTGACGGGTGCCCTGCTGAACGCAGGCACACAGAAACATGCACCCCGGATTCACACACACACCCAGCCCGCCCTCTGCTGCCTCGCGTCCAGGCAGATACTCACGGCCTGAGCATATGTGCTGTACGGGGTGAAGGGCAGCGCAAAGGAAGGCGTGAGGATCCCCAGTTGCCCCACCATCTGCTGCATGCGCCGGAGGGTCCTTTCTTTGTCTGTGTCGGCAAATTTCACCACAAGGCTGGAGGAAGCGCCCTAGTTTGCAGGAGGAAAGGCACAGGCGTCAGACTCTTTAGTCATGACTCTAGCATTACGGGGGGTTGGACTAGATGACCCTGGGGTACCCTCTAACTCTGCAGTTCTATGGTTCCATCACTGGCCTGAGATCGGCTGCGGGGAGCCTCCTGCTGCCTGCCACTCCTCTCTAGCACAGCAGCACCAAGGAGGACTGGGCGCGACTCCCTGCAGAGCTGCTGCCAGTCCGTGCAGACAACAGCAGCCAGGGAGGACCAGCAATTTAACACTGCACAGGGCAGTTCAGATTTAAATCAGCCCTTTATTCCAAATCATGCAGACTGGAGTCTTGTTTTCGGCAAGCGCAGCTCGGTAGCCAATCTGGTTAGAGCTGCCCGGAACCCTACAAAGCCCCACTGACAGTCATTAACAGTTCCTTTCCCACCCACCCCCAAAAAACTCCCAACCCTCCTTGTTAAAAGCTGCCTGGAAAGGGAGAGATGTCAAGGAATTGAGGGCAGCCAAAGAAGAAAGAGAGAGAATAAAAATCTGATCAGAGGAGCATCTGGGAGTCTCACCACGCCGAAATGAATGTGAATGTTTACTTAATCCCACCTTCCCTCCCAGGAACTCAAGGTGAGATACACAGTTCCTCCCTGCCTTATTTTATTCTTACAATAACCCTGAGAGGCAGGTTCGGGTTGTGAGAGGCTGCAACTGGTCATTCCTATGAGCTGCGTGGGGATTCGAATTCGGCTCTCCCAGCGGTCCAACACCACTACAACCACAAAATGTGGCCACATAATCCAAAACCCATAACGGTTCGGAAGGCAGAATTTAGTGGATGAATTGGTTCGATTAAATAACTTTTTTTAAAAAAAATGCTGTCGGTTAATTAGGCAACTTGGAAAAAAGTTTATTTTTAAGCACAATAAGTGTAGGTGGCAGCCATCATCTTTAAAAAGGCATTTTGGAACCACCGCCCACCCTGAGCAAGACAGGAGCTGGCTGCAATGCAGATTAATTATTTTTAATTATTGCATGTACATCCCACCGTTTCCTGCAAGGGCTTCAAGGAGGTACGTTAGGCTGAGAGGCCGTGACCTACCCCCAAGGGTCACTGAGTGAGGATTTGAACCCAGGTCTTTCCCAGGTCCTTGTCCAATGCTCTGAAGCTTGGGTATCCAGGAGTTGTTGCAATACAACTCCCATCAGGACCAGTGGTCAGGGATGATGGGACTTGTGGTCCCGCGGCATCAAGATTGAGAAAGGCTGCTCTAAACACTGCCTATGGCCTTTGAATACGTTCTTTTATTACAAAGCGAGAGACCAGGACAGACACGGCCTGGACTACAACTCCCATAAGCCCCAGAAAAGCAGGGCCAAGGGGAAGCGGAGCCTGGCACAGTGAGGTCTCCTTCATCGGATGGGAGCCCTATAGGTTGGCTTCCATTTGTCTCAAGAGACTATTGAGGATGCCTATGGACAGGGGTGTGTGTGTGTGTGTGTGTGTGTGTGAAGTCGAAACGCTGTGTTAGCAGCACTGAAGTGACCGCCCCAGGGCCCAAGCCTAGGCAGCATGTCTGGATGTGCTGGGCCCGGGGGTAACCTGTGAAACACGGTCCAGGACCGGTCCAGAATCCGAAGGTTCCGCTGGGAGTCAGTCCGACAGGGTCAAGGCAGGAAACCAGGCAAGGACAGGGGCAGGATCGCAGGCAGGATCTAGCGTACAGCAATGTTGCTCCCGCAACCTGAGACAGGGTCCGACAGCCTTTTATCTTTGTCAGGGTAGCGGCCGGTCCTGATCCCCCGGCGACTCACCTCCCTGTTTCGCCCAAAAGCGAGCACTCCTCCTGCAACTACTCAGGTCTCTCCTTCTCTCAGACCTCAGTCTCTGCAGCTCGGGAGACGTCGGTGGGTTACCAGACCCAGGGACCGCCTCAGCCTCCCCTGACCCAACCGGTAGCGGAGCAGCTGTAAGCGATGGCCCAGCTGGAGGCAACGAGGTCATCCCCGCATCTGGAGCCAGGGCAGGCTCAGGCCCCTGACTCAGCCCAGCTGGTGCTTGTTGCAGGGGAAACTGTGCAGACTGGGACTCTTCAGGATCAGGCCCCAGACTAGGTTCAGCTGCCGCCCGAGGCAAAGGATCCAGTGCGGACTGAGACTCCTCTGGCTCCGAGTCCAGGTCCGAGTCCCAGGCCATCACATTGGAGGTCCTGGGCTGCCCAGATGACAAGAGCTCCATCTCGGTCTCACGGTGATGGTTCAAAGGAAAGCAGAGCAAGACGCTTGGGACCAGCTTGGCTGCAGGAGTTTCTGGAAGGAGGTGTACAAGGCACCATCCAACCGCCTTAGGGATTTCACTCTGGTTTTGTGGAGAGTTTACAAGTGTCCCTATTTTCCAGGGACAGTCCTGAATTTACAGAAGCCACCTTGGTTTCTGATTTGGTGCCGCTTTTTCTTGGGACGTCCCTATTTTCATTGGAGAAATGTTGGAGGGGATGGAGTTATGCGACCCCTGAGCCAAGGAGATAAGTAACTATAAAGGTAAATGGTTGAATTATGGTGCTGGAGGAGACTCTTGAGAGTCCCATGGACTGCAAGAAGATCAAACCTATCCGTTCTGAAGGAAATCAGCCCTGAGTGCTCACTGGAAGGACAGATCCTGAAGCTGAGGCTCCAAGACTTTGGCCACCTCAGGAGAAGAGAAAACTCCCTGGAAAAGACCCTGATGTTGGGAAAGATGTTGGGAAAGGAGAAGGGGACGACAGAGGATGAGATGGTGGGACAGTGTTCTCGAAGCAACCAACATGAGTTTGACCAAACTGCGGGGGGCAGTGGAAGACAGAAGTGCCTGGTGTGCTCTGGTCCAGGGGGTCACAAAGAGGCGGACATGACTAAATGACTAAACAAAGGTAAATGGTAATGGACCCCTGGATGGTTAAGTCCAGTCAAAGGCGACTATGGGGTTGTGGCGCTCATCTTGCTTTCAGGCCAAGGGAGCCGGCCTTGGTCCACAGACAGCTTTCTGGGTCATGTGGCTAGCAGGACTAAACTGCTTCTGATGCAATGGGAAACCAGAGCGCAAGGATACGTCGTTTACCCTCCCGCCGCAACAGTACCTATTATTTACTTGCAGTGGTGTGATTTTGAGCTACTAGGCTGGCAGGAGCTGGGACAGAGCAACGGGAGCTCACCCCTTCGCAGGGATTCGAACCACCGACCTTCCAATCGGCAAGCCCAAGAGGCTCAGTGCTTTAGACCACAGCGCCACCCGCATCCCACTGTAAGTAAGCCTTTAGAAGACAACCCTGTATAGGGACGTTTTTAAGTGCTTAATGGGAGGTGGTAATAATAATAATAATAATAATAATAATAATAATAATGGAATGGGACATTCCTATTTTTATTGCAGAAATGGTGGAGGGCATGTGCTCCTGAATCTGTTCTTCAAACACGTCCCGTAAGACAGCGGAGGTTTAGGATCAGAGTTTTCCTTCTCCCAGATGGGCTCCTTTCTCTTGTGTCTGCTTAGGTCTCCTTCATGACCACAATGTCATGCAACAGCCCAAACTTTAATCTGGGTGGAATCTACACACATATTAAAAAAAAACGCTTTTTAAAAAAAAAACGTTTTGAAAAATAAATTGAATTTTGCATAGCTCCCTGTCGCCACCTAGTGTTACATTTGTACATTGCACTTAAAATGCTTTATTTGCAGCTCTCTAGCTGAGTCCTTGGATAGGGCAGCACTGGTACCCCCACAAACCTCCCACACGGATCTGCCATATTGTGACTCGTTTTCCCATCGGCTGTTCCCCTCTGGAGGATTTTGACTTGCCTTGGGCAAATGGCCGGTTTGCGACGCTGGCTCGCACCCCAAAGGAACCCGACCACCCACCCGCCGCAAATTCTGACGGCACCTTACTCACAGGCATAGTTTGGCTGCCATGAAGGGCGTGGATCGCTGCCTGGGCCTCCGTGTGAGAGGAGAATTTAACAAAGGCACAGCCTGGAGGGCGTCAGAGGAGACAGAGAGAGACAGAAGAGGAGGACAGAAAGGAAAGCTGCAAGTGAGAACAGAGCTGGAGGAAAGTATAGTTTATGGAACATTGGCCTGTTCAAATGGGAGGGAAGAATCCCATGGGCCCCTCTTTGTGCAAAATTCCCATGGCCCCCCGCCCTACTTAATTTCCCATGGGCCCCTCTTTGTGCAAAATTCCCATGGCTCCCTACCCTACTTAATTTCCCATGGACCCCTCTTTGTGCAAAATTCCCATGGCCCCCCGCCCTACTTAATTTCCCATGGCCTCCATTCATGCCAGGAGCAACTCCACACTACAAGCAAGCATATGGCATGACTTTTGAGCCATAGGCGACCTTCCAGCCACACAAAGCTTATAAGTTTTTACACAGAGAAATAGATAGATAGATAGATAGATAGATATAGAGAGAGTGTGTGTGTCAAGGTAGAGTCATTATCACAGTTCAAATTCTAGATGTGGTTTTGAGGGCCAGACAGAGAGCCCTGGGGGCCACATTGGGTTCTCGAGCTCGAGGTTCCCAACTCTTTTCACACACTATAATAACATGCGACCCTGCACAGCACATCAAGAAGGTGTTTCCCCCTTCTTTTACATTAGCCGATAGCCTTGCTGAAGGTGTAAGAGCACTGCCACTGATTATTTATTACAATGGCTCTCCAAAACTCGCCAATCAAACCTGGCAAGGCATAAATGCAAAAGCAAGAGGCTAGTCCTCAAGGTGAATGCCTTTTTGCTATTGTTTTCCCCCCGTGAGAGATGCTGTGAGGCACCCGAGTTCAAAGAATGTAATAATAATAATAATAATTAATAATAACGCAGCCTGAGGACAGCCAATTCCCAGAGTTCTCTGTGGAGTGCTTTGGGAGTGAAACCAGTTTCAAAACGGACTGAATTTGCAAGCAACTGTTCCCTTCGAGAAGAGGTCAAGTCTGTTCTTGAAGGGACAGCTCAGCTAGTAAAGCACAAGACTCTTAATCTCAGAGTGGTGGGTTTGAAACTCACGTTAGGCAAAAGATTCGTCCCCCATCCTAGATGGACGGAGGACCAGAGACTGACCTTTGCTGTTGCCGTCCGGCCCTCTGAGCACTGTGCACTCGTCAATGACCCCGAAAGGTTCAAAGAGGCGCAGTATGTCTTCTTCCGATTGCTGCTTGTTCAACATTCCCACAAAGAGCTTTCTGTCCCCTAGAGAGGGAAAAAGAAAAGAAAACCACCGAACCATCAACTTTCTGTGGGTCTCTCAGGATGGAGGGGGGAAAGATGGGGCAATCTGTAGGAGTGCAAATATCCAGAGTGTGGGGTCAGGTGGGATTACTATGAGGAATTATAAAATATGCATCAAGCCATTGTGTCCACAATGAATGCATTGTGTTGACTGGGTTTGATACATTGACAATAATTTCTGATCAAATCCCACAACCCTCTGGATCTCTGGCCATTTTCTCTACTGCCCATTTCTCTTGCTTGACAAGTCACGTACACAGCCCAGTTGCTTCGCCAGGCAGCACCCTGGGTCATTAAAGATAGTGGGCAAGTTTCTTTGATGTAGCTTTTCTGATATGTTAATCTTAGGATGTTAATCTTTGGGCCAGGAAACAGATCTCACCTGAAGGTTATAATGATCTCTGTCCTCCTGCCCATCCTTCTTATCATGTATTTTGCTTGTTTATGACCTCAGGGGTTGCCAAATGCACTCCTTTGTAGTTCTGCTCTTTGTTTACCCCAGAAATATGTGTGCTTGATTAGTTTTGGTAGTTTAACTTTGACCCCACGTGAGGTTTGTTGAAATGCTCAGAAGAAATCTGATTGGTTCTTACGAACACTCTGTAAAAAGCTCTTTTGTGAATAAAACGACCTGGGCCAGGGGCTAGAGGCAGAGATTATTATACGCACCCTTCCCAGAGTCTTGCTGGTTCAAGCCTCTCTGTGTATTCTTATTAATCAGAGTTCAATCCTTCCTTTACTTTGGGAACGCCTCAGCAATCCACTACCCCAAGGAACCCCAAAGATACTAGTTTTGCAAAGGTGCCGTCTATTATCTTTATCTCAGGGTCTTGGGTTCAAGCTCTCTATATTCTGAAGGGGGGGTAGGGATGTGATGGAGATCCCTAGTCCCCTGTATAGAACGACAGTTTCCAAGGTGGAAAGGAAGGACACAACAATCATGTACATTTAGCAGCATTTAATGATGAGATTTTGCAGCAGCTACGAAGCCACACAATGTGTGCGCCTGTTTTTAAAATTGCGGGTGTTTCTGGCGCTTATTGATTTGAAGGTATGTTTCAAAGGGCTTGGCACGAAAGCATTGTGATATCTCAGAAACCAGAGGGATGGCTTCAGTGCCCTTTCCTTAGGGTTGCCATACGTTCATTCAGAGCTAGAATACGGCAGTCTGAAATTGTCCAGTTAGCAATCGTTGTAATGTCTTGGAAAATCCAGACGTGTTGGCAAATGTCCTAGACAATATTTGTGTCCGGTTTTTCACTTTTTGAAATATGGCAATCCTACCCTTCCTACATAGGGGACACGAGTGGCGCTGTGGTCTAAACCACAGAGCCTAGGGCTTGCCGATCAGAAGGTCGGCGGTTCGAATCCCCGCGACGGGGTGAGCTCCTATTGCTCAGTCCCTGCTCCTGCCAACCTAGCAGTTCGAAAGCACACCAAAGTGCAAGTAGATAAATAGGCACCGCTCTGACGGGAAGGTAAACGGCGTTTCCGTGCGCTGCTCTGGTTCGCCAGAAGCGGCTTACTCATGCTGGCCACATGACCCAGAAGCTGTACGCCGGCTCCCTCGGCCAGTAAAGCGAGATGAGCGCCGCAACCCCAGAGTCAGCCACGACTGGACCTAATGGTCAGGGGTCCCTTTACCTATACCCTTCCTATAAGTACCAGAAACAGATGTAAAAAGGTAAACCTCTGGACGGTTAAGTCCAGTCAAAGGTGACTACTCTCGCTTTCAGGCCAAGGGAGCCGGTGTTTGTCCACAGACAGCTTTCTGGGTCATGTGGCCAGCATGGCTAAAACGCTTCTGGCACAACGGGACACCGTGATGGAAACCAGAGCGCATGGAAATGCCGTTTACCTTCCTGCTGGAGCGGTACCTATTTTTCTACTTGCATTTTGATGTGCTTTTGAACTGCTAGGTTGGCAGGAGCAGGGACTGAGCAACAGGAGCTCACCCCGTCACGGGGATTCGAACTGCCGACCTTCCGATCTGCAAGCCCAAGAGGCTCTGTGGTTTAGACCACAGCGCCACCTGCGTCCCACCAGGAAGAGAATACATCATGCAGCCTAGTAAATGTTGATGAGAAATTATGCAAAGTAAGAGAAGTTCTATACAGTGGTACCTCAGGTTAAGAATTTAATTCGTTCTGGAGGTCTGTTCTTAACCTGAAACTGTTCTGAACTTGAAGCACCACTTTAAATAATGGGGCCTCCTGCTGCTGCCGCACAATTTCTGTTCTCATCCTGAAGCAAAGTTCTTAACCCGGGGTACTATTTCTGGGTTAGCGGAGTCTGTCACCTGAAGCATCTGTAACCTGAAGCGTCTGTAACCCGAGGTACCACTGTATATGGGAACATCTTCCATAATTCATTATAGGTCAACAAACCCACAGCTTTTCTTATCAGAGAAAGTGGGTTATCTTGCACCGAATATGCCAATGGCTGCACTTGAAAGCTTTGCAAGAGCTGAGCTACCCGATTAAACGGCTTCTCCTGGCAGGGCCTCTTCTTCACTCTACTAATGAAGAGGGAGAATGTCTTTGCATTCCTTCTGGGCTGCTGTTTCTGGGCTTCAGAAGACGCTGCAACCAGTTATCAGCAGGGCGGATTTAGGTAAAGTGTTTTGGGGGCATATTTCTGGGGATGACAGCTCCACAGGGTATATTGCATCCTCTCTCTTTTTTTAAACCCATAAGAGGAGTCATCTTGGCAAATGGATAAAAAAAAGTGACATTCCCCCAGTGGGGTGCCGCACAGATGCCCACGGGGGCGTTGACAAAGGAAAGGAACGTGTTGAGGAACCATGCAAGGAATGCCTTATTGCAAGCGACAAGATCAGAGGGTCTGCCTTGGAAGGGGAGCGGATTGGAGGCGACGTGTGTCAGGAGGAATTGCAAAGGGGGCAGGATCTGTTGGAGGACGCAGTGACCTGGAAAGAGATTGCTGCTGTTTTGATTTTTGGAGATGGGCTGTGAGGCACGGGGTTTCCCGTCCCCAAGCTGCATGCTGCGAGGTCCATCGCAGGCTGGGCACCTGCCCTCCATGCAGAAGGTTCCAGGTTCACTCCCCAGCAGTTTCCCCAGGTAGGGATGGAAAGCCTGCCTTGCCTGAAAGACTGGACAGCTGCCGCTGCCAAGCAGTGTAGACAAGATTCAGCTGGGCGGACCATTCATCCGACTAAGAATGTTGCTATTTTAACTTGGGGAGGGGGGCCACAACAACAAATAAAGGGAGGGCAACCAAAATGGTCAAAGGCCTGGAAACGATGCCTTATGAGGAACGGCTAAGGGAGCTGGGCATGTTTAGCCTGGAGAAGAGGAGGTTAAGGGGTGATATGATAGCCATGTTCAAATATATAAAAGGATGTCACATAGAGGAGGGAGAAAGGTTGTTTTCTGCTGCTCCAGAGAAGCGGACACGGAGCAATGGATCCAAACTACAAGAAAGAAGATTCCACCTAAACATTAGGAAGAACTTCCTGACAGTAAGAGCTGTTTGACAGTGGAATTTGCTGCCAAGGAGTGTGGTGGAGTCTCCTTCTTTGGAGGTCTTTAAGCAGAGGCTTGACAACCATATGTCAGGAGTGCTCTGATGGTGTTTCCTGCTTGGCAGGGGGTTGGACTCGATGGCCCTTGTGGTCTCTTCCAACTCTATGATTCCATGAAATAAATTACAGTGGTACCTCTGGTGCTTCAGGTTACAGACGCTTCAGGTTACAGACTCCGCTAACCCAGAAATAGTACCTCGGGTTAAGAACTTTGCTTCCGGATGAGAACAGAAATCGTGCAGCGGTGGCCCCATTAGTTAAAGCGGTACCTCAGGTTAACAGTTTCAGGTTAAGAACGGACCTCCGGAACGAATTAAGTACGTAACCAGAGGTACCGCTGTATTGTTGTTATTTCTTTCTTATTAGTAATTTTATCCCTTTATCTTTTTGGAAAACTGCAATCAAGCAGCGTATAAATTTTATGAAATGTATATATGCTTTTCAGGGGCCAAAAAACCCACAAAAATGCAAGAGATCTAAATTCTGCACAGACTATGCACAGAGCACTCTATCTCCATGCATTCCAGAACAAAATGTTGTGCGTGTGTGCAGGCCTTAGAAAAATACTCGCATTTTCAGCATTTAATTACAGTGGTACCTTGCAAGACGAATGCCTCGCAAGACAAAAAAACTCGCTAGACGAAAGGGTTTTGCGTTTTTTGAGCTGCTTCGCAAGACGATTTTCCCTATGGGCTTGCTTCGCAAGACGGAAACGTCTTGCAAGTTTGTTTCCTTTTTCTGAACACCGTTAATACAGTTGCGACTTGACTTCGAGGAGCAACTCATAGGGCGCGGTGTGGTAGCCTTTTTTTGAGGTTTTTGAAGACTTTGGTGATTTTTGAAGCTTTTCCAAAACTTTCCCGACACCGTGCTTCGCAAGACGGAAAAAACCGCAAGACGACAAAACTCGCGGAACGAATTAATTTCGTCTTGCGAGGCACCACTGTATCTCAGTTTCTATTTTTGGTTATGTAGCCTTTTGCACTATTATATCCTCACCGGAGCTCAGTGTTTTTGAGGAGCGAAGGCCTGCCACTGAGAGCACAATCCCATTCTTGAGATTTTTTTAAAAAAGGAATGGATCAACAGGTAGGGACTCAGGAGACGGCCTTCTAGGGGTGGGGTGGGGGCTGCTCCCAGGCAACTCCCTCCCTAGAGAAGTTAGACGGTCACCCTCCTTGCTCTCCTGCCGGCAAGGAAGAAGAATCTTGTTCCAACAGGCTTTGTGGAACTGACTGCTTTCCACGAAAGGGCTGGAGTGGTGCTGTTTTTATTGTAATCGTCTGCATAGTTTGAACAGATTTTTAGGTACAGGCAATGACTGTTTTCCATTGGGGGGGTTATTCATTCCTGACCCCCACCTTGCATCAATAGTGATTATGCGAATCTCCTCTGTCTATAGCATTTATTGGCTTTTCAATGACTAAGGCAGCCGATTAGCGGACCCCAACAGCAGATCAGGCATAAGCCCGCTACACTATGGTTACCAGGTTTTTTTCAATGAATCCGGGGACCCTTCGGATTCCGCCCCCCCAAAACTGGGTAGCAACAGGGAGTCAGTAGTGGGGATGGTGAGGCCAAAGACCCTGGGCCCAAGCACACATGCATATTGTATAAAGGTGCAAAGCCCTTCTTTCGCACCCTGTGAAACATAAATGCGCAGAGTTTTTAAAAAAACTGGCCAATGGCTGCCCCCCCTGCGGCTCCCGAGCCTCCCCCCATCTGTCAAAACAAAGGGGGAAGGAGATCGGGGGAGGCTCGGGAGTCATGGGCGGGCGGTGCGCTGTTGCCCAGTTTTTTAAAAACTCTGCGCATTTATGTTTGACAGGGTGCAAAAGAATAGCTTTGCACCTTGCCCAGCAGAGAAACTGCGCACCTTGCGCCCCTCCTGGGCAACAGCCGCCCGCCCACAACTCCCAAACCTCCTGCATCAGTCAAAACAAAGGGGGAAGGGGGCAGGAGATCTGTACCACCAGACGTCCCCGGTTCCCCTTCAGCAGTGGCGACAGCAGTAGCAGTAAGCAGCCCGGAGCCAGCCAGAGCCAACTGTGCTACCAGGCTGGCTCCAGGCTGCTGAGGCTGCCGCTGCCACGTTTCCCGGGGACAGATTTGCAAATCTGGGGACATTCCGGGGACGGAATTTGTCCAGGGACAGATTTGCAAATCCAGGGGCTGTCCCCGGAAACCAGGGACGTCTGGTAACCCTACGCCACACCCCCTTTTCTGGCCACTTCTGGGTTGCGGCGATGCGCACAAGCGCACATCAGTTGGATGTATGTACATTGGTTGTTGCCTGTATATATGGTCTTAACTCTATCAATGTTTAATATTCTAAAATGATTGTGGGCCCCCCGCCCCCGTCCATGTTTTTAACTGTACTTTTAAAAAATAGAATCTGTAAGCTGCTTTGAGTCCGTAGGTGCCAGTTCCCTGGGCCCTGGGTGTACCCACAAAATCCCCCACAAAGGGGCCAGGCACCCACAGATTTCGCTGCCAGCGCCATGCACGGCGCATGGCACTCAAGGCCCCGGGCACCCACAGTCGCGGAGCCAAACTGGCACTCCTGCTTAAGTCCTTGCCAGCGGGGGAAAGGTGGGGTATAAATATAACAGCAACAACTGGGAATAACCTGCTGCACATCTCCCTCTCGCTTGCTACGCCAGTGGGAGCAGGAGGGGGGGGGAAGGAGGCCCCTCCCCAATGAGTAAGCCACCAGAAGCACACAAACCCTCGCTCTGGGATCTCGCTTTCTGCATGTGACGCAGGCAGCCCCGAGCGGAAGCCCTGCCTGAACCGATTAGTCTCGGCAGGCTGGGCAGCCACACTGCTTGCGACAAGCGCCGTCGTGGCAAGCCGCATGCCCACATGAACACGGTTGCAGAGTGGGAAGGAGAAGGGGGGAGCGCATGTGTGTAGGGTCTGCTGCTGTCCCCTCCTAACCTCACCCCCCTCCACCCCTCCAGCCTGCTCCTTTATTTATTCATCTCTAGCAAAGTGCCTGTAATTATGATTGGCAATGTGTGGGTGCCGATATGTACCGTATTTTTTGCTCTATAAGACTCACTTTTTCCCTCCTAAAAAGTAAGGGGAAATGTGTGTGCATCTTATGGAGCGAACACAGGCTGCACAGCTATCCCAGAAGCCAGAACAGCAAGAGGGATCGCTGCTTTCACTGCGCAGCGATCCCTCTTGCTGTTCTGGCTTCTGAGATTCAGAATATTTTTTTCTTGTTTTCCTCCTCCCAAAACTAGGTGCGTCTTGTGGTCTGGTGCGTCTTATAGAGCGAAAAATATGGTAATATTTGCATCAAGCGAAGATGTTGGGCAGCGCCAAAGAGCTTGCAGTTGCTTCGTCTTGTGGGGTTTACTGAGATGCACAGGGAAGAATTTTCCCCCCACGGTGACAGGAGTGTGGGACAGAGATTAATCCTCTCCCCCAGGTGAATGAATGGTGTCTGGGGGAAAGCAGAGGGCTGCATTTTGGGGTTGATTGCTCCCAGTGCTGCTCTTAATCTCAGGGTCGTGGGTTTGAGCCCTACGTGGGGGAAAAGATTCCTGCATTGCAGGGGGTTGGACTAGATGCCCCTTGTGGTCCCTCCCTAATCTGCAATTCTTTGATTCAGAGTCTCCTCCTAAGCCCCATTGGGTGGGGCCAAAGGAAGAATAGCTGCATCACAGGGAGAGATGATGTGATAATAAAATTTAAGGGCTTATACATATATGATAAATGTTCATAAATGTACCAACCAAGCACGTACATAGATCAGCAAAGGAAGACCGACCTGAAACCATTTTGACTTCCAAACTGACCAAATGTTTCTCTGCAACAAGGGAGGAGGTGGAAAAAAACTTACAGGAATTGGGTAATCACCATCTCAAAGGAATGGGCAGACTACCAGGAAAGGCAGTCAGATAAGGCATTATCAGATAACCTGGCAGACAGGAAAAACAACAACACACTCAAATTTCTGTTGTAGACCGCCTTTTCTGTGATGTAGGTATGATGTTTGTGGGGGGGTGGTCTTGGGCTACACCCCTTCTGTGGTGTATGTATGGTGTATGGAGGGGTGGTCTTGAGCTCCAGGGCAGGGAATTTAAAATGTCTATATAAGGACGGGCACACCTTTGTTCAGGGTTCCTCCTCCTCTCCTGTGTGTGAGGGGAGCACCCTGTTGCAACAGTTCAATAAAGATCAGGCTTACTAGCTGCTTTGCTTCTCAATATTCTCTGGTTGGCCTCTGTTATTTTCCTCTACCAGTAGGGAACTCACGTAAGGACTCTATATGGGCTCTTGGATACCCCATAAGGGAAAAAGGGCAGATTTTGTTTACAACAATGAGAAATTCAATTCAGAAACAGAACTATCAAATTTGCACTTTCCACAAGAATATGCAGATTGAAATACTGATTCCCAGGCCATCTGCGGGCTGTATTTAGAAGGCGATTGGGCCAGATCTGG